ATTTCATAAATGAAAAGGGGAGCAATAATGGGATGGGTCCGTTGGGAACTAGCCTGGAAAGCTATTAGAGCATCTCTAATGGTATATGGATTGCTATATTTCATTGCCACCTAGCCTCCAAAATCTAATGTAGCACTCAATAATTGTAGATCTTCCATTTTATATTATATTATTTATTTTATATTTATATTTCTAGCAACCAATTATTATATTATATTACACTGTTGTCAAATTAAGCCCACAATATAAGGGTGGGTTATTTTAAAAAAAAAATATAAAAATCTGTGGCAAAAAATAAAAAAAATTAATTGTGGAAAAAAAATCAAACGGACGGATTCTGAAAATACGTGTTTCTAATTAAAATTTTTAACCGAAAAACGGATTCTCAGAATCCGTTTTTGTTTTACATTTAATTTTTTTTTTAAAAATGAAAGTGGAAACTGTCGGTGGATTTTAATATTAATACTGGACAACGCGGATTACCAAAATCCGTGTTACGTTAAAAAAAAAAACGATTAACACGGATTGTGAGAATCCGTGTTTTGGTCAATATATACAACTGCATACTGCTCCCCCAACCACAAATCATTCATCAATCCGAATTTTTTTTCTCACAAATCATTCATCAATCCGAATTTTTTTTTCTTTTTTCTGTTCGATTTTTGAAGACAATCGGGGAAGAGGTTAGTTGTTATTTTAATGTAATGTAGTATTATGTTTTTGTTGTTTATTAATGTTTAATTGAAGTATATTTGGTTAATTGAGTATTGTTTAGGAAATCTTGAATATTGGTTTAATCGTTGTATTAAATGATTATAATTAGCTATTGTATGATGGGTTTTTGTTGTATGTTGAATATTAATCCGAATTGTTTATAAATTTGATGTTATTGTTGGATTATGATGATTAATTAGGTATTGGTAGTGATTAGGATTTTGTTGTATGTTGAATATTTATTCGAAATTTTTATGAATTTGATGTTATTGTTGGGTTATTGTTGGATTATTGTTAGATTATTGTTGGATTGTGGTGATTAGGGCATTTGCTATTGTTTTTTAGTTGGAATAAAAATATGATTTTTTTTTTGTGCAACAGGTTATAAATGGCGTCTATAGGTCCTTATTTTGTTAATGTGTACTGGAAAATTCCTCAAAGTGAGTTAGGGAATTTTTCGAATTATTTGGCTCGTCCGGATTGTTCATTTATTATTAATGAGAGAATATCATATGAACAATTGGTAGATATAATTTACGAAAATGGTGGATTTCGTGATAGTTGGACAATTTCGAATATTACTTTCATGGTCCAACAACCGGATGGGTCGTTTATTCCCGTAAGACTGGATAATGATAGTGCGTTTGAGTGGATTTACTACTATCCTCGTATGTCTGTTGTGTTTTTGTATATTGTGTTGGAAGCAAACACACAGGTTACACAGGTTGAGGATCCTGCCCCATCATATGGTTACGGGGGAGTGTTTGGTGATCAGGGTACATGGACTACGCATGCCGGTAATTTTGGTGAAGGGACGAGTAATTTTGGCGAAGGGACGAGCTTTACCATGAGAGGACCGGACATTGAGGAAGAAATTGTTGGAGATGAAGATTTCAGTCCCGGTGAAGACGATTTCACTGATGAGACGTCGGAAACCGAATCGGACAGATCAATTAATGAGGAAAGCGAACAATAATTCATTGAAGAACACCCCTTTCCAAATGAAGGCCTCCACTCATATCGCGAGATGGGTGAGTGGGACGCGTCGTGTGTAGACAGGGACGAGTATGCCTTGCCACTCTGGGATGGGCATGTCGATACTATCCGTTTGGGTACAGTTTTTCGTACCAAGGAAGAAGCTCAGACTGGTGTTATGGCCTGGAACGTTGAGAATGTTAGGGCTGTCCGGACAAAAGATTCGAACAAGAGGTCGTTCAAAGTTGTGTATAGATCGGATGAAGTTCCACCATGTATATGGAAGGCTCGGGTGAGTCTTAACACACGGGTTCACGACATGTGGGAGGTAATGGAATGGACCGATAGCCACACTTGCATGCAGGTGTTCGAGAGAAATGACCATAAGAATGTGACTGCCACCATGATCTCAAATCTTCTGTTGGCTAAGATTCAGAAGCAGGTGACCTACAGTGTGGAAATGGTGCAGGCCGACGTAAAAAGTGCCTGGAGCGTTGATGTCAGCTATAAGAAGGCGTGGCACGGGAGAAAAAAAGCCATCGATCGTGTGTATGGCACGTGGGAATCGAATTTTGCACAACTCTCCCACTAAGTGTCGAAATTAATTATTAATGTATTTCCTTGTTAGTTGTAACTATATTTAATTATTTATTTATTTATGGTTACCTTTTATAATTTTTAGGTTTTTCGCCGCCATTCAAATGGCGAATCCCGGTACAGTTGTTGAGTGGCAATGGCAAGGTGGGGAATTGGCGCATCATTCTCGAGACCGAGAATTCAGATTTGTCTTCTGGGCGTTCGGCCCCGCCATTCAAACATTCCTTCGTTGTCCGCCGATTATTAGCATCGACGGCACTCACCTGCGAGGTTCGTAGCAAAATATTTTTTTATTTTATTTGTTGATTTACAATAGTGTATGATAAACAAAAATCATATGTCAAACTGAGCAGGTTCATACAAGGGGAAGTTGTTTGTTGCCATTGCACAGACAGCGAATAAGCGTCTATTGCCAGTCGCGTATGCGATTGTGGACGAAGAAAGCACAGCTAGCTGGTCTTTTTTCCTAACACATCTGCGTAATCATGTCGTTCGCGACAAACCGATATGTCTTCTTTCTGACAGGGACAACGGCATATTGAGTGCCGTTGAATCACTGAAGGCTTGGCACGAACCCCATGCATTTCATCAGATATGCCTTCGACACCTCCGGAGCAACGTGCTTTCAAGGTATCGGAATAAGAAAGTCCGAGTTTTGTGCTGGAGGTTGGGTTCATTGTGTTCTCGTCGGAAATTTGAGCAGGCTCAACAACAACTTCAGGAATGTCACCCGGAAGCATACAATTACCTTTTCCGAATTCCTTTGGAAAAGTGGACCTTGTATAAAGATAACAGACGTCGATGGGGCACTCTGACAACCAATATGTCAGAAAGTTACAACAATGTCCTCAAAGGTGTCAGGTTCCTGCCCTGTAGAGCGTTGGTACAGGCCACATGGACAAGACTCTAGCTTTGTTTGAACAGGAACAAAAAAAGTCCACAAGCTGCAGGAGTCTCATTCCGACCGAACTCTATGCCGCCTATCTGGTGTTGGACAGGACAGCGCGACTCACGAGGTGCAATGTGCGGACGCCGACGGATCCCAATACAAGGTGATGACTGGTCTACGCGCCAGTGGAAGAGGGCAAAACAAGTATGTTTTTTTATTATTTATTTGTCCATTCAAATTAGTTGTTTTTTACTTTTATTTGTATATATCAATCATTGTGGAAAACAGGTTTACGGTTGATTATCAGCATCAGCGTTGTACATGTCGGAAGTGGCAGACATATCGGAAACCATGCTCTCATGCATTAGCCGTGTGTCGTTACCGGGGTGATCAACCGAACTTGTTGTACAATTCTCACTTTAGGACGGAGAACTGGGTTGCTCAATTTTCTAATTGGAATTTTGCTCCAGTTGGAAATCCTGACACGTGGCCGCAGGTGGGATGGAATTTGATTCCGAATTGGGACAGGATCATCTCGAAGCCTGGACCCGGTCGTGCCCAAACGAGACGCTTTAAAATGCAAATGGATCGTCGGGCGCGCCGCAGAAGGGACCGAGATCAATGCAGTAGATGTGGTGATCCAGAACATTTCGCGGACCATTGCCCGTATTCGCATCCTCATGTGGATCGAACTCGACTCCGTGATGATTGGGGAACTAGATTTTCTTATATGTATTTTGACTGAACCTGTATTGTTGAGATTAATAGTTTGTATTTGAATGTCTGAACAAGTGTTGTCTGAAACTGTATTATGATGTGTGGATTGGTTGGTTTTGCAAGAAATATCGCCAAAAATGAGTTAAATATGAAATTTGGTAGCCGGAATTTCACGTTGCGCAAGTAACTGTCCAACTGCAAATCAACTGATTCAATTAGTACAATTAAAGTCAAATTCGTATAACTGAAGTCAAATTAGTAAAAATAAAGTAAAATTCGTGAAGAGTTAAGTATGAAATTGGTAGCCGGAATTTTCACGCTGCGCAAGTAACTGTCCAACTGCAAAACAACTGATTCAATTAGTACAATTGAAGTCAATTTCGTACAATTGAAGTCAATTTCGTACAATTGAAGTCAAATCAGTACAATTGAAGTCAGTTTCGTACAATATAAATCAAATTAGTACAATTGAAGTCAATTTCTGATACGGATCCAACCCTCGGAAGAGGTTTCTACCAACCAAGCCAAATTCTTCAGCAGGATAATCAGGTACAATTGAAGTCAAATTAGTACAATTGAAGTCAACTTCGTACAATTGAAGTCAATTTCGTACAATTGAAGTCAAATTAGTACAATTGAAGTCAACTTCCGTTTTATTTTTGTCCACAATTTTTTTTTTGTTTTATTTTAGTCCACTTATTTTTTATTTATTTTAAATAAATAAATGATTCCACAATATAACGCTGATCTCACTTTTGCACTCCAAATAAATAGAATAGGTAGATAGGTCGAGTGGCATTCACTCTACAAAATTACAAAATAGAAAGGCATAGTTAGAAAACCTAATTGATGGCGTATTCTTTCCTGCTGCGCCGCGGCCGAAGTGTTGCCGGATTTTCTAGTTATTTGATTTCTGGAAAATGGAGTCGCGACTGTAATTGGTTTTGTCGGAGAGGCATGAGCACTGCGGCGCTAATGTCGCCGGAGAAAAGCAATCCATCTTCTTCTTGTTCTCCTTGGCTGATGCTGCAACCCGTATATGAAGCCGGCGCCGTCTGCACGGCTGCGACGATGACTTACAAGTTCTACAACCTGGCCGAGAACAGGGTCGTGACCCTGTGGGTCCCACAAATACCATGTGACCTTCCGAGTTTCCGGGGTTCCTCCGGCGGTGGCTGGGTATCCATTGTGCAGCCCGAAACCCGCGATGTGTTACTCTACAACCCCATATCCCGCCGCCGCATAAAGCTCCCACCTTTCTACGGCCCCTCTGTTTATCCAGGCGATAAACCCGGTCTCCATAAGTCTATCCTCTCTTGCTCTCCCGACAGTGAAAAGTGTGTGGCCGTGAGCCTAATCTACTGTGCGAATTCCATGGCTGTGTGCTGCCCCTTGTCCAGTGACAAGTGGACCTGGTTCGGCACCCGCTCTGGAAGCGGCTATTATTTAGATTGCGTCTACTCAACAAGCCAACAGATACTCTTTGCCCTCACCGACTCTTATCAGTTGGAGGCTTGGCACCTGACAGTTGCATCCCCAGAATTAATACGAACTATGGGTGAGTATAGTAGTATCCTCGAGCGAGTAGAGAAAGAGAAGAAGCAGGAGAAGAATAAGAAGTTGTTACTGTCCAGAGACGACTTGACATGTTGGTCTCAGCATTATCTGGTGGTTGCCGGAGATGATCTCCTGGTGGTGACTCAGTACATCATGCTATCCGTTGACTCGGATGGTTTGTATGTCGACTTCGACTTAGATGATTCCAATAGACCAGCTTTTGAGCTGCCGACCGTCACTATTGATTTTGATGTTCATAGATATGATCCCAAGGATGGGGATCTCAAGTATGTGGAAGGTTCGTGCTTGGGTGGTTGGACTCTTTTCGTTGGTAACAACAGCCATTCTGTTGCGTTGCGTGCCCCAGAGCTCAAGCCCAACTCAATTTACTTTACGGATCCTTTAGAATGGTTGAGACAAGGTAACCATGACATTGGCATTTTCAGTTATGAGGACAAGGCTGTGTCGCCATGCTATTATCCATGCGACCCTGCCAACCTAAAACCGATATTCCCAGCGCCCATCTGGTTTTTCCCAAGCAGCTTCTGATTTTGGGATTGTGGATTCTTCATTTTGATTAGTAATTTTCATTTTGGACTTTGCTGTAGCACGTTATGTTCTTGAAATTATTTAGTGTTGGAATGTCTTATCATCAACTCAGCATCTATGTTGTGATTAGGGGACGATTGACAATATTACATTTTATGTCGTATTCAGTGCGGATTCTGCTTGTGCTGGATCTGCCCAGCTAAAAATGACGGTAATTCTGATGCTAAATGATAGAGCATTTGTGATGCATAGATTCAGAATTTCTGATGAATGCTTTTCAAATTTTAGCAGCTGGCCCATCGACTACAAACTGTGATTTTTTGCTCCCTTTTTGCATCTGCTCACAGGTTTAATTTCGGTTTTCGGTCTAGAGAGGGAGTTGTCATAAGGAATTGTAATCTAACTCCTGTTTTCGAAGTTGGGCTTTCAAATGTAAACTGTTGATCTTCTTCATTGGCGTGATGTGAAAATTCTGTTTCTATATCTTTGGGGGTGACAGATACTTGAAACATTGAAATCAGTGAAATATATTGTATATTTCACAATACTTAAGTGGTCAAAGAATGTCTAAGAAGCAGTATCTTGCACCAATTTTACTACAGAACTATGGAATACCGATTTTGAAACGAGATTAAACATAATACACAATTCTGAATGACTGAAAAAATCAAATTGAATGTAGTTATATATAAGATAAACAACATATAGACATTATGAATCAGGATTGATTGACCTCACCAACAACGTGATCATTTTTTTTTCAGTTGATCGGGGTGTTTTTTTAGACTGCAAGTGCTCGATGAACGGTAAATTCCGTTTCGAAATTTGAACTCGTGGTGCCAGAATTATAGTTATCAAAATCGACATGGTTATTTCTCTTTCTTTTTTTTTTGTTTGTTTGAGTTTCCGTTTGTATGTGTTGATTTCAGCGGATTGATTCCCTGAACAATATATGGACAAAGAGAAACAAATCAACCGATATAGTGTGTAATCTCGTTGATATGAAATAAAAATTACATCCTAATCCACTTTTGATTAATGTTTTCAGAATTAGTATATATGTAAATATCTCTACATGGGGCTTTATGTATATAAATTTCCCAAATAAATAAAGGCCTAGGTAGCAAGCCGCGGCCCAAGAATCGCCGAGGTGCAGCTCACGCTGTTAGCAGGCGCCCAGCACGCGCGCCCCTTCAGCCCGCCAGCAGCGGCCCAACAGCAACAACACGCGGCCCACTCTAGCGCCAGGCCCGCGCCCGTCAAGCGACCCAACCCACAACAACTAGTCTGGTCGGGTCAACTAGGGTTCAGTGACCCTTTGAGTACTCTTGGCCCAATTGAATGCTAGAGACCTTTGCACTACCCATGCACCATTTCACAAACACAAGACAAGCTTTATGGAAAAAACATCTTTACTTTATGGTATATTCCAAACACGTCTCCACCCCCTATTATAAAATTCAAGACTACCCACTTGGTCTTCATTTTCCCTCCTCCTAAATATCCTAAGTAATGAAAACTACAAGATTCTCCCTAGTCCTTAGCCAAATTTTCGGCCACCCACATTGCACTTCCGAGCAACTTCTGGCGAGCCACCTCCGAGAGCACCGCACGCCATGAGCTCTCAGCCGCACGTGTGCTTTTCTGAGCTTCCAACAACTCCGAGAGCTTAACACGCCACGAGTCGCCGCAGGCACACTCACACGTCGAGACCACGTCCAAAGTCGCACATGTCCAAGTTGCCGAGCACCTTCCATTTTCTGTTTTTGAGTCCCGGAGGTGGTAGGCAATCTAAAAATCTCTCATTTGTCTTAGACATGAATTATAGAGAATATAAATGTTGGAATATCACATGTGAGTCGTCCCATGTTGATTTGATAGGGTAAAAGAGTCTAGTTTATAAATCTAGTGGGCAACTCCTCTCATCTCCAATTGGTTTTGGGATGGAACCTCACTAAGGTGCAACTAGACTCACCCTCTTATGGTGTGCTTATATGGGATCACACCCTTGATGCCCCCGATTATAAAAATTTGACATGGTATCAGAGCAGCCCAATTTGGGACCTCCATTGATTTAGAAAAAAAAATACTCGGCCTGGTTGTAGGCTTGGGCTGATGAAGGACTCACAAGTGAGGGGGCGTGTTGGAATATCACTTGTGAGTCGTCCCACATTGATTTGATAGGGTAAATGATGTAGGGAAAAGTAAACGAAAGGGAAAAGGATACGAGTAAACGAGATACTCTCTCGTAAAACACGCAAAACTTTCAATATCTTATTTCATATTCAAAATCAACTAAATAAAACAATAGATGAGGAGTCCCTTAAATAAGGCTCATAACCCTAT